TATATATATATATATGTATACTCTTCACTTTCATCTGGAGGACTGAACTACTGTAAAATTCATCCTGCTTTCTGTCATGCTTTGTATATATATATAAAAGGTTATATATAGCATCTTTTCAATGCTTTACAGTCCATTTACTGGTTCCTGAACAAGTAGTGTTTGGAGGCTTTGGTTCTTTCTTTGCTAGTACTTCGAAGGTGGCATTTTTTTTTGTTTTGCATCTGTAGAAAGTCTCCTTTCCTTAGCATTTTATGCTAAATGTTTAAAATTATTTTTGCCTGTGTTTTCATGTGGGAGGCAGATGTCATTTGTTTACCTTCTTAGCTACTTTTTGAATACAAGCTTTTGTTACAGCAGCTGTGAGTTGGCTGCAGAAAGATAGAGACAAAGTCAGTGTCCAGTGTAGTGTTAAGTCTGAAGACTTTTTGTTACAGCTTACAGTAATATTTCTAGCTTTTGTAGTTAATAATGTAACAATGTGCTCTTTAAAAATAAATTTAAGGTTCTTTGATTTGGTGTGAATTTTGGTGAAACTGATGGGTTTCAGACACATTTTTACTGTAGGGGTGATGAATCTGTTTTGGTAGATTAAACCATGGGAGTATTTAAAGGGTCTGAAAAGTGTGTCTTGGAAGTTTGTGTTTTCCACCAGTCTAAAAGGGTCATTTTTAGGGAAAAGAATTCTCAAAATCCTTAAGGAGCGTTATTCAGCGCTTTGCTCCCAGCCTCTTACAGCAGCCCCGTACCAAATACACCATTTTAGCATGTAAAAGCTATAATTGTAGTATTACTCTTTGCCCTGAGAGGCTATCCTAGTATTCTTTAAAACAAAATTATCCAAACCCATTTGCTGCCTTGACAAGAAAGCAAATGCACAATGTAAGTATTTAAGTACTTTAATTGTCATGTGAAGTATAGGTGATCTAGTTTAATGCTTAAGTTGAAAGCCAGGCTTCTTGTGTGAGCTGAAGTAACTGTGGCCTGGGGGTAATGATTTGTCTAGACTTGGTAACTTTTTCTGCTCAGTTATTCATACTAAACTTAATTTTATTATCCCACAATTGTGGCTTTGGGCTACATTAACTGCATTTTTTAAATTTTTTTTTTATTTTCCTCTGGAAGAAAGGATACTGGATTCAGGATTGTGAACTATAAGCAAAAGTGAAGGAAAAAGAGTCACGTTGGCAATGATTTTTTTTTTTTTTTTAATTTTTTTTTTTTTTTTGGTGCATTGTCAATCCACTTGACCATTCATGAGAATGTGGGAGATGCTCAGATTTCCTCTGAGATTCTTTTAGAAAAAAAAAAATTACTGGGTAAATAAGCTACAATGGTCACTTGGGTGGTTTCTTTGCCCCAACATAGGATCAAGTAATTCAGTGTTGTTCTTCATGAAAGTTTGCCTACATCCTTGAAAAATCATTCAGAGAGAAAGGTTCAATCTTCTGATTTTATTCTCAGTTTGGTTTAGGGTTGGGGAGCTCAGTAATAATATGCCAACCTCATGAAGTTTAAGCAAGTCAAGTGGAAGGTCCTACACCTGGGTTGGCACAGCTACAGGCTGGGCGGAGAAGAGATTCAAAGCAGCCCTGTGGAGAAGGACTTGGGGGTGGTGATTGATGAGAAACTCGACATGAGCGGGCAGTGTGCGCTTGCAGCCCAGAAAGCCAACCATATCCTGGGCTGTATCAAAAGAAGCATGACCAGCAGGTCAAAGGAGGCGATCCTGCCCCTCTACTCTGCTCTTGTGAGGCCTCACTTGGAGTATTGTGTCCAGTTCTGGTGTCCTCAACATGAAAAGGACATGGAGCTGCCGGAACAAGTCCAGAGGAGGGCCACGAGGATGATAAGAGGGCTGGAGCACCTCCTGTATGAAGACAGGCTGAGAAAGTTGGGGCTGTTCAGCCTGGAGAAGAGAAGGCAGCGTGGAGACCTCATAGCAGCCATACAATATCTGAAGGGGGCCTACAAGGATGCTGGGGAGGGACTCTTCATTAGGGACTCTAGTGGTAGGACAAGGGGTAATGGCTTTAAACTTAAACAGGCGAACTTTAGATATAGGGAACAAGTTCTTTCCAGTGAGGGTGGTGAGGCACTGGAATGGGTTGCCCAAGGAAGTTGTGAATGCTCCATCCCTGGAGGTGTTCAAGGCCAGGCTGGACAGAGCCTCGGGCGACATAGTTTAGTGTGTGGTGTCCCTGCTCATGGCAGGGGGGTTGGAACTAGATGATCTTAAGGTCCTTTCCAACCTTAACTATTCTATGATTCTGTGATTCTGTGCCCTGTCCCAAGAAAGCATCTAAGTGTTTGCACTAATCATTCTTTCCTTCATTAATGGCCCAGTGCAGAAGTGGTTCAAAAAGTGGGAAAACATCCATTACAAAATACTAATGGTTAAAGTCTGATATGCCAAGGTGCTGACCAGAGCAGTGAGTGGTAACAATGGAAGTCCATCACAGAAAGTCTACTCTGTTGTATGAGTGAAAACGTGATTGATTTTACCTTCTGAGATGTAACCATATCTCTTCAGTTGTGCTTTGTGCACAGTGTTTTGCTTTCCTGTGCCTGTGCTCTGAATGAAACAACTGGTAGAGGTTTCTTTTGTTTTGGTGTGTTTTGTTTTTTTTTTTTTTTTTTTTTTTTTCTCAAAAGCCACAAACCACTTATAATTTGCTTGGAATCTAACCAGTTATGTTTTAGTGGCTGTGCTCTTTGGCCTCATAGAGTCCCCTCTTGAAATATGTGCAATATGTTAACAATAAAACAAATAAAACATAGTTAACAAAAGCAAAAAAAAAAATGAAAACAAAAGAACCCACCCCCTCCCAAAAAAACAACAAAAAACCCAAAGAAAACCAAAACCCCATAATCAACCCAAACCAAATAGTAATAACCTCCTCAATGGCATAGCAGCTGACCTAGAGTAGTAGTTTTGTAGCTATCACTCTACAATATAATGGTTTTCATGAATGTAGGGCTCTCTAAATCTAGAATTTAACTTTTGAAATCTTTGTTTCTAGAACTTAACTAAGCTCAATGTATTTCATGTTTATATGGTGGTGTATAAAACAAAACAACTGCCACTTCGGTGGGTTTTTTTTTTCCCCTCTTTTTAGCTGGTGAAGCTTTGTATTGCAATGATTGATACCGGGAAAGCATTCTGTACAGCCAACAAGCAGTTCATGAATGGAATTCGAGACCTTGCACAGTATTCCTGTAAAGATGCATTGGTTGAGGTAAGTTCTTTAAGACGTGAAAATGGAAGGAGAAAAGTGTACCTGAAAAAAGGGGTAAAATATAACAGTTGGCAAGAGAAGTATTTGAAGTTTGTACTATTACTTGCCTTTTTATTCCTTTTTCTTCACCATGTCTTTTGGCTGTGGTGCACTGCAAGTGTCTGTACTGTTTAATTTCAGCTTTAATCTGCAATGGAAAGGTTTTTCCAAATTCCAGAAAATGTGTTTTAGGTTAGGAATTATCATCTTGGGACGAGTGGAAAAAGGTTGAAGCTATGAATGTTGCTCCAATTTTGCTAAAGTTCTAGTCATGGTTCTCTGCAGCAAAATTTCCCCTTTTCTCTTGGGTCCTGGAACTGACATATACTAATATATTGAAATTCAGATTTTAAATGTACAGAGCCCCCTTTGATGTGTAACCTCAGACTGCTGTTGTTAGGCTAATTTGGAATACCTAATATGTCTATTACTTTAAATGAGGTATAAAATTGTATATATTGCAAAATACAATATGCAGGTATAATTATTATGTGCACGTTTGTGTATATAATCTGTAATGCATGCTATGCAGTAGAACATCAATTACATGTATGCATCTTCATGTGCTAGTTGGAATAGATAATGGTGCAAACTTCAGTATAGTCTGTGTGCAACTGAAACTGCTTTTGTCTGGAAATTTACTTGCTAGAAATACAGCTTAAGCAGTTTTCCAAACGTATTAGGGGTCATTGTTTTCTGACTGTGTTTAAGACATTGATTCTACAGATTGATGTTGCTAAGCACATCAGCTGTGAGGCGGTAGTTCCTACAGTAAATATGTGTGTACTGATGATTACAACATGTTAACCAGATTTTTGGAGTTAGAGTATTAAACATTAATAAGTACTGTAATATTGAATATTTTAAGTTAATACGTGAAATTACGTGAATTTCCTGTAGTTTAGTCGACTTAATTTTAATTTTTCCTGTTGTGCTTCCATTTGACCCTTTATATATAGGTAGGTTAAAGCTTATAGCTTTACAGGTTTACTTGATATTACCCTCATTTTCTCCTTCTAGCATGATGGTTTTGGTTAACAATCATGCTGAGGAAAATCAATTCACAGGTTCTTTTCAGTAAAGTTGTAAACCTCTGAAATGTTGCTTTTGTGACGTGTGTTTGGTAGGGTTTAACTTTAACCACTTTGGTTTTCTCTTTACAGACCAGCTTGACGAAGTTCTCTGATACCTTACAGGAAATGATCAATTATCACAATGTAAGTATTTCTAGTTGAAATATGACACTTACTTCCAGTTATATTTGATAACAGAATAATGCAAAAGCATTACTTTTTGGTAGTACTTGCAAAGTCATGATTTAAGTGGTATTGAGTACCTCTCATTTTATACTTGTAAATATTTTATTTATATTTTGATTATGAAGTATTTATAAATATCCCCTTTTCTGCAGTTTTTTTTTCGTTTGGAGTTTAGCTTTGCTAAAACCCAGTCCTGTAAGGCAGGTTAAATACTGGGTTGGTTTATCAGTTTTAATCAAACTGATGGGCAGCAGTGACAAACTGTGAGCATATTTCTTTGCTGGACTGAAATAATGATTACCTTTTCCATAATTTCTACTTTTTTCTCATCCTTTATAATGCACAAAATGAAGCACGTCTGATTTGTGTGTAGTTTTCTCTTTGGAAATAAGACAGATTTAGACAAGACTAGGGAAAGGAGAAAATGCTAGGTTTTGAGACTAACAGTGTTTTTTTAGCATGTCATATGTCAGCAGAAGGCTCAGTTTTGCCTGGATTGAAAACTAACATTTTTTTATTTTTTATTTATTCCCTGCTCTAAAGACTTTAGCCTTATATCCTGAAAGCCAAAGGGATGTGTTCATTGTTCTGTTTTATTCCTTTCTTTTGGCCCCTACCCCTTTTCTTCCATTTTCCAGCAAGTTGCTAGAAACCAAATGAAGCGTCTTCAAAATGCTGAAAATATGCAGGGCACTTAACTTTGTTTGCTTGTTTTTAATATGTCTCTAGGAGTCTAAAATGTAATGAGATACAGAGAATGTAGTTCAAACAGCTTCAGCTGAAATTAAGTTTGTTGGCAGCCTGTGTTCAAACTCTTCATATTTCTTGCTACTGGTTATTCTCTTAACCATGTCTTTGCTATATCGTGTGCTCTTTGACACATCTGACCTAGGTCCTGCATTCTTGCTGCTGTTATTGTCCTACATGATTGTGGCTTGCAGTACTTAGGTAAAATTTGGCACAGTACAGCGCTCTCTCCAGGGCAGTTTTAAGGCAGAAAGCAAAGAATAAACTGTATTAAAAGAAGATTTCTTTGCAGATCTATGAGTTCTATCCTGGTTTGGGTTGTTTGTTTTTTTCCCCTCCGCTTTCTTGCTCTGTGCATAGTGAGTGGCTTTTACCAAAAGACACAGTCATAAGAAATGAGGCATGCTACAGCATTCTGATGAAGAGCTTTGGCAGACATGTTGCAGTCCTGTGCTGCTTTTGTGAGTCTGTTTAATTCAGCAAGACTTTACTAGCTCAGAGTGTCAGCTCTGTTGTTGATCAAGTTGGCAGGAGAGCCATCAGAAGAAATTAGAGGAAGAAAGAGGAGAGGCAGGCTTCCTGCAGAGGAAGGTGGGAAAAGGTAGGAGATAGTCCCACTGAAATTTGGATGGCTGTCACCTTTCTCAAATAAGGCTTTGCTACAGATAAAAGAAAGAGCGTAGATTTAGATTAGATATTAGAAAAAAATTCTTCACTATGAAGGTGGTGAGACACTGGAGCAGGTTACTCAGAGAGGTTGTGGCTGCTCCATCCCTGGAAGTATCCAAGGCCAGGTTGGACAGGGCTTTGAGTAACCCTGTGGAAATTGTCCCTGCTCGTGGCAGAGGGGTTGGAACTAGATGATCTTTAAGGTCCCTTCCAACCCAAACCATTCTATAATTCTATGAAATAAGGCTAGAAACCAGACTAATGCAGCATCTTCACTGATTCAGCCGTGGGGGAGTAGCTTTGACAACTTACGGCAAATCGCAACTTTCTTAGACTCGGTTTGGAGTATGTGAAAGGCGATGTGTTGGAAAGGCTGTAAATCTAATCAGATCGTGATCTGGGCACTTTTTTCTGTTCTCTTGGGAAAAACTCTGTATGTATTTTTCTGCCTAGCACTTTTTTCCTCTGCATTACTGTAAGGAGAATTGCAAGGCTTATATTTCTGGGAGTCCACTAATCATCTCCCATCTGGTTATATGCTTTTGGTATTGATCTTGATTGGTGTATTCCTCAGGCACTGGCAAGCTTAAATGTCAGCAGTGGGAGTAGTCCCGGCATGACTTCCAGCTTGTCAAGAAGTTCTTTATCTATTCTAGTTGTCTGTTTTTCTGTTTTCCTAAAGTGGGAATACAAACAGGATCTTCCATATGGGATGACTTGGGTTGGAATGGACCTCAGAGTATGTCTGGCTCTACTGTCTGCCTGTATCAGGGTCACCTCTGGTGTTGGAGCAGGTTGCTTAGGGTTTTACCCCATTTGGTCTTGAAAACTTCCAAAAATGGAGACTGGATGGTGGATATAGTACCACTGTTAATGAGTGATTTAAACTCAGTTATGTTTTCCTTCATTCAGTGTTTCTCAAAAAGAGAAACAAGGTGGTAAGGGCTTTGCTGTCAGTGCTTGGCATTGCATGGCTTGTCATTCCCAAATTTTTTAATGGGGAAACTAAGACAGAATTTTTAAAGAAAACATTGTTTGACCTGAAACTTTAAGTTCTTGACTTGCTTTTTCAATAAAATTAATTAACACTCAAATATCTTTACCTTTTGGAAGAGCTTCTGTACAGTTGGGCCAACTGCTACTTATGTATATTCTTTCAACTCTTTGTATTTTTTTGTGATAATGCCTTGTATATTTCCACAATGCAGAATGGGAGGTGTAGAGGAGTTGGAAATTAAGGCAGCATTTGTGGTCTGCACAATGAGAAGTGGCAAAGGATTTGTCCCATGGCCATTGACCTGTTCCATTCTGTCCTTAAACTCAGAGGGCAGACATGAAGCTGAAGGAATGTGCATTTTCATTCCTCAATTAGAATTTCTGGGGTCAAAAGAGAAAACGCAAGTTGTCTAACATTCAGGTGTGCTTTGGCCTTGGAAATGTAACAAATTTCCCATGCTTTATGATTTGAATTAGTAGATTATATTCTGTGCTACCTCCCACCCTCAAGCCTCACCAAATCATAAGAAATTTGAGAAGCATGGTTCAGAACACTTAATCTTAGCAAAAGAAGCAGCTATTCTTCTTAGTTCAACAGGGTGTTTGGGGGTTTTTTTACAAACATGTAAAGGAGACATACTCATGTATGTTACATTTTCAGCATTAATTTCAGTCTTGGGTTTTTTTGCCAGGGCTTAAAGGCATATTCTTTCTGTGGTTTCATTTGTCTTTTAGTAGTTGGTTAAATTGTGGAAGTCTGTAAGAATAAGAAAAGTAGTTATTTAACATTCAAAATTGTAGGTTCAAGGCTGTTAGTACAGTAATATTCTTGACTGTTTAATAATCATAATAAACATGTTTTACGAGAATGGGCATGTCTTGCATTGTCAGGATTAGAGAATAAGATGCCAGGAGTTATTGTCTCTCCTTATAACCACAGTCTTTTAAAAAAGACCAGCAGAACTTGTTGGCTTTGTGTTATTTTTTCTATTTTATTCCTTATAAAACTACGTTGAAGGGTTTTATCTTCTAACATTAGACACACATTTGATTTAATTATAATTCCTATCTAATTCTGCATAGTAACTGTGTATATCTAAAATGGAAAGTTATGAATACCTGAAAGTTATTGACCTACATGATAATGCTTTTCTTTCAGATCCTGTTTGACCAAACCCAAAGATCAATTAAAGCACAGCTTCAGACTTTCGTTAAAGAGTAAGTTAATTTGCACTTATAGTGGGGAAAATTATAGGTAAAATAGAATTTTAAAACATCTGATTTGAGTGAGTTGGTGAAACATCTTTCCTGAAAATGGCTAGCCATGAATTGAGAAGTGCGTATTAAGGCTTGTCAAAAACCATCCCAAATCAGTAAGGCTTTAGTTCGAGCTGCGGAGATGTTGAAATAGTATGAATTACTGATCTTAATTACATGTTGTCATTGTCTAAGCTTAAAAAAGTGCTTACCAAAGCTTTTCCCCAGTACGCATGAGATGCATTTATTTAAATTTTGATTTTGTCCTTTCTTCAGAAGAGAAAGAGAGTGAAGCTTCTGTCACACTTTGTATGGTTTCCATTTGTTCCAAGCCTTTATTGAAGGACATGAAAACAAAGATAGCTGTAACAGTCATGAGCATGGTTTGTCTAGTTTATCTTTAAACACTTTTTTCATACTTTAGAATTAGTTACACATCTTTCCTTTCCCTTTAGAGATATTAGGAAATTTAAAGATGCTAAGAAACAGTTTGAAAAAGTTAGTGAAGAAAAAGAGAATGCTTTAGTGAAAAATGCGCAAGTTCAAAGGAATAAGCAACACGAAGTAGAGGAAGCAACCAATATTTTGACTGCAACACGGAAATGTTTTCGACACATAGCTCTGGATTATGTTCTTCAGGTAAGTGCAGCAATAAAAGTTATTTTTCAAAACTATCTGTTACATGTAGTTAGAGATCTGTCCTTTAGAAGTTCTTGCTGTAAGCTTCTTAAGCTATGGGGATTCAAGTGAAAAAGGAATAACTATGTCTGCAAGTAATTTCTTTTTTTGAATGAAATCTAAGCAAAATTAATTTACATGATGCATTCTTATTGTTCAATGCTTCGTTATTCAGTGCTGTTGCTGTAATGACACAGTTTAATTTTCAACTTGAACATTATTTTTGAGAAAGCAGTTTTTGCCTGATACTTACCTAAATGTATTTCATTGGCTATGCTGTAATTCCTTGTATCTTTGAAGTAAAAACTATAACCTAGCCTAGGAAATGCAAATTACTTGAATAATTCTGTTTATAGAATGTTGGCTAGTACTACAATTTCAGCTGTTTGCATTGGGTTTTATTTAAGAAATCCTATTTATCTAGAAGCCTTGGAGTCTGAAATTGTGCCACAGGGGAAATCAAGAACGTGGCTACTCTTTAGCCTTTTAATTCATGTCTCCTAGAGAATGTTGAGAGAGGTGTTCTTTGTCCTGCTACTTTGAATCCTGTGAAATACTAACATATTTTCTGTTGATACTTGTCATTCATCTATTTCACGGTTACCCACAGCTACAGCTAAACAGATTGTTGCAACTTGGGTGGTACCAGGGGTTGGGGACTCCTGAATGGGTCTTGGGTTCTCCTGTGATCAAACACAGAACAACCCGTTAAAATTATGTTGATTTTATATTGGACGTTATCATCTTGATTTTTGACAGTTGGGTCAGTTACTTAAAGCTTAGTTAACTGTTCTTTAAATCACATGTACTACCTGTAAAGTGAAGCAGAATTGATCATATCAGCCTAGGCATATGCATGGATATGGTGGTCAGTGGTCCACACTGAACTCCCACCTTTTGAACACTAAGGACAAAGTTCATTTTGATGCTTAAGAAGTCATGGGAATTACGTACCACTTAACTACTTGTACTAAGATCAAATAGTAATGGGGGGGGAAGCTGGCAGTCATTACTTTGGGCCAGTTCATTGCATATGCTTTGAACTGCAAATTATTTTTTGCCTCCTGGAATTTGTATGTTCAAAGTATGAGCAGTTCCTGTGATAAAGATGCATGTAAAGTAACAAGGAAAAGTTTCAGCATCTCGTAATTAATGGGGGCTAAAATGAATTCAGCTTTAGGAATTCTTTATACTTGGGTGACTCTTTTCTTCTGGAACAGTGGTTTCACAACTATGGTTTCTTTGTAGTTATATTGGCTTTAAAGTGTATTTCAAAACCTTGGCTTTCACTCCCCCCCCCGTCCAGGGTTTGTCCTATACAAACTAATCTTATTTATTTTTTCTTCAGAAAGTTTTCCAAAATACTGGCTGTTTTGAAGTGCGATCTGGTTTTGATTATAGCTTCAGTAAAATTAGTTCTTTTGCTGAAATTTTAAACTGATGCAGAGGTGTTAAATTACACCACCATGCATGTTTCTGCTAAATGGGGCTTTTAAAGTGAACTCTGTAGTTCTGGATGACAGCCTTAAAGATTAGGGAGCAAAGAGGACAGAGAACTAGCTGAATGCAAAGTAACACGTATTTTTTTCTGTATAATGTGAAATGATTTGAGCTCTAGGGCAAAACCATTGGTCAGTGACTTCAGTTAGCTTAAAAATGCAGGTATGTATAAGAAGTTACCTACTGAAGCTATTATGATCTTGCTTATTTCAGAGGCTGGGGCTGTATCCCAGTTCTGGGACACTTTCGAAAATGTCAGTGTAGGGGAAGAATAAACATGCCCCTGTCCTTTCTTCCCCCCTGGCAGGAGATGGCAGTGGAGTGGAGTACAGCTTCTTTAAGAAGTTGGTGGGCTGGGTTAGCTCATACTGTCAGAAAGGGTATTTCAAAAATGTTGAATTCAGTCTCTTAAAAGGTATATTATATTACTTCTAGCTAGCATGTGATGTCTTTTATTTTCCCTTCTGATATATGAAAGTTGTGTCTACTGCTGTGAAATTCTAGCTTTGCAAGCTTTTTCTGATTGCATTACTTCAATATAATGACAAAACTAGTATGCATCTTCTTCTAAATGTCCTTTGTGAGGTCTGATATGGAGGTATGTTCTTCCAGTGTTCTGGGATTTGATATGATTGTTTGGAAGTAATTTGTAGTTTACTTCTGTGGGGAGAATTTGAAAGTAGAATAAAATAAGTTACTTGTTTGCTTGTGTTTTTTTTTTTTTTTTTTTTTTTTTGTTGTTGTTGTTGTTGTTTTTTTTGGTTGGGATTTTTTTTCCAGATCAATGTTCTTCAGTCTAAAAGAAGAGCAGAAATCTTGAAATCGGTAAGATATACTTTATTTTCTGTGTAGCAAATATTTGAATACATCTGAAATGAAAAGTGTGATTGAAAAGCAGTATATTAAAAATCTCGTCCTTTGACTTATCAAAACATTATCAGTACATTTGCTGTACAGTCAGTTTGGCCTTTACTAGAAATGCTTTACTGTTTTTGGTAGTCCTTTTGGTTCAGATTTGAACACTTGAAGATTTTCACTGCTATTGACTCTTTGGTATATGTTCCATGGTTAAAATCAAACTTTGTCTGCCAAGAATTCTGTTGTTTAGGTCTGCTGTATTAATGTATAAACAACAAGTACTACTTAGAATCTATTTGAAGATGGATTCAGCTCTTTCTACAAGAATGGTATTTCTTTATGTTCATAAAGGCTGTGGCTTTGGGTCATTATTAAATACATTCTGTAGCCCTTCTGTAGTTAAACAGGAGATGATAAAAGTTCCACGACACCCAAATTAGAAGTAATTTTCTGCCCTTAAGTAGATTTTTTTTTTTTTTTTTTTTTTTTGTTTTGTTAATGGAGTTAATCCTGTTAACTAACATTTAAGATTTTTGGCTTGGTTCTTTACATTGCATGTTTGTTTAAAACATTAGAAGCTCTGTGAGATGTTGATGTAAAATTGCCAGGACACAAGAAAGAAGAAATTAAGCCTGGAACTGTATTTTAAATTTGTTTACGCAGACTAGTTAAGCAATACACTTATGTGATAGCTCATAAACATTTACACTTGTAAAAAATGTATTTTTTCTTTTTTCTTTCTAGATGTTATCATTTATGTATGCCCATCTGGCTTTTTTCCATCAAGGCTATGATCTTTTTAGTGAACTTGAGCCTTACATGAAAGATCTTGGTGCACAGGTAACCAACTACTTAAATTCATAACTGTATGCTGGAATGGATGAAAACTTGATATATGAGTATATACTGGGTACATTATAGATCTATTCAACAAAAAGGGGACTGTGGTATGGTAAAGGCAAAGAATTAAAAATACATTGTGATTTAAATGAATGTAGTTAGAAACTGAAAGTTGTTTCATAAAATTAATACTATGTTTAGGTAGCACATACTTAAACATAGCCATGTAGTGCCATTTGAGGCACTATGGTATTCAGGACATTGGATTCTTCTGTTTTAAAAAGTTTTGTATATGACACGTTGTAAATATATTTAATGATAAAAAGTAGATAAGTTTTTTTCCTTCTAACTGCATACATTATTTACTGTACGGATTAGGCAATATGCCAAAATAACATTGATGATAGCCACTTAGACCATAAAACAGAAGTCTCATTTTAATAGTGCAAAATGAGTTCATACATTGAATCCTTCTTACTCAGTTTTATTGTTTGAGAACAGAGAGTTTCAGCTTTTGGGTGCAGTGACGGGCTCATGAAAAGGTTGAACCACAGCCAGCTGCACACAGGAGACAGTGAAAATGGTTATGCAAAATAGATTAAGAACATGCAGTATTCAACTGAAGATCTGTGTGTGGTGCAGGAAGAAGACTCAGTAGCATCTTGACTTGGTTTTCAGTGCAAGTTGAATGGGCCTGGAAATACTTGTACAACACTCCTTCTTTTTTTTTTTTTTTTTTTTTTTTTGTTTTTTTTTTTTTTTTTTTTTTCTTTCCTTTTTTTTCCTCCTCTTTTGCATCTATCCAAAGCCTTGCAACAACTGCACTGGTGCAAACCCCTCTTTTGCCACTTCTGAACCTGATGCACAGAACAAAGCCAACCCAAATTCTGTCTCCAGATACGAAAGGAAAAAAATGACAGCAAATGTTTATTTACATTCATCTCAAGTAGATGTGTCATTAAATGTCTAAGAACTGACATTGTTCTGGGCTGGTTATTCCTGCCACAGCGCTGTTGCCGCCTGCGCCCCTCAATCTTCTGTGTCTGTGCAGTGAAGCAGATTGGAAGCTGTAGGAAATAACTCCAACAATCAAATGTTTAAATAGTTATTTTTCTGCTGCACTAGTCCCCAGTCAAGTTACTGTGGGTCTTAATTAGTTGTACAAACACATGTCAGGGAGGTGTGTGCTTGTATGTATGTGCATGCATGGGGCAAATGTTTGAGCTGAGAAGAGAGACAGGCTGCTTGAGCTGGTGCTGCCATCAAGAAGAGAAGTGGCTGTACAGCTACAGACCTCTGTGTTTGGTGTAATAGTGGCACTTGAAAGGTTCGGGTGCTCACGACTCTGTCCTTAATTGTGCCATTTATTCTTTCACATTCTTCCATTTTGGGTCGTAATTCTTGAACTGCTAGTGTTTTGATAGTATAGAATGTGTGTCCTGTACCTCTGCAGAAGAGGGAATGGGGAAAGGAGACAAAACCTATGGAGTTGGTAGTGGTTTATGCTACCAGCTACACTTTAATGTTTTCATTTAATTGAGGTTATTTAGGCAAGGAACAAAAGGTTATTTTTGAATGGCTGGGCATCCTTTTGCTTGATCTGGTAAGGAGCATTGTGTAACATATTTTGGTGCTGGTATCATAGCAACCAAAGGAGTTAAATTTAGAAAATCCAAAGCTGAGAAGGTTTAAAATATATTACAGTTGGAACAAAGGTAGTCTGAAGACCCTAGAGTTATACACCTTGCTGAATTACTCTTTTGTGGCAGACCTTGGCATTTAAGCAATGGATATTTTTCATGACAGAAGCAGACTTGGAAATAGCTTATGGAAGTTTAACAGTTAATGGCTTTGCAGTTTGCACTGGTTGAAGCTTCTGTCTTTAGCAGGTCAGAGAGAAGGTATGTTGTGACATAACAAAACAGAGATTTGCTAGATTTTTCTGAAAATACTGTCAGATTGTTTCTGCTGGTGAGTTTTCATTCACAGGTAAATTTTGTGGATGATCTTAATTGCAAGGTTTAATGGCACTCAAGGTATTAAAATTAAAGTGATTTTAAAGAGTATAGTTATTTTGTAGTTCTTCTGGTTTACATTTTTAAACTCTAACTGGTTTACATGATGAAATAGGATTGAGCAATTTTTGCTTTCTGGATACGTTAGGTCAGGGTAGGATTACTTGTGAATCAGATCACTGTAGGGGAATCTTTAGTGGCGCACAAGTGTAATACAAGCTTTTGCATGGAAACTGTGGTATTTGGCACTTCTCATGTGAAATGTGGTATTAGTTTAAAAAACCTACTTGAATTTTCATTCTGAGATGACTATTCAAAAAGCTAAACATTTGCTAAATGGACAGCTAAACTAAGTCTGACTTAGTTCTCTACAGAATACCACTTATAGCACTATATGTTTATAAAAAATTACATTTACAAGAGCATGTAGTGATAGGACAAGGGGAAATGGCTTAAGCTGACAAATGGGAGATTTAGTTGAGACATTAGGAAGAAATTCTTTACTGTGAAGGTGGTGAGGCACTGGCACAGGCTGCCCAGAGAAGCTGTGGCTGCCCCATCCCTGGCAGTGTTCAAGGCCAGGTTGGACGGGGCTTGGTGCATCCTGGTCTAGTGGAAGGTGTCCCTGTCCATGGCAGGATGTTGGAACTAGATGAACCCAAACCATTCTATGATGTATCAGTAAATGCAGTATTTTGAAAAAAAAATTTTTTTTGGAGACTACCCAGTAGTGGTATAATGACAGGGATTTTGATTGCTCAGTTATGTGATTGGCCACAGCTCTTGACAGTTGTATGCTGTTGGTCATATTTGTTTCGGGCAGTTGATGTGCTGCTCACTTTGGAAGAGGAAATTCTGATCTGAGCTTGGAAACTGGAATGATGCAGTGCTGTCTTGATAGCAGAAGTAAATGACGAAACAAGCTGCTGTGACAAACTTTGTTTTGGCACTTATGCTGTGGTATATGTATTCTCAAACACTATTATTTAACATAAATTAGAGGTCATTACCCTAATCTGAATGTGGCTATCTTGTTTGATCTAGCAAGGTAGGAGGAAGAATTTCTTGGGGACCATGTGCAGATTCCTGAATATGAAGTTTTAGTAAGAAATTTGATTCCTATAAAGTCTTGAACAGCCCTCAGGCTAATTCTCACTTTTATCTCGAAAGAATGGGTTTCCCAGGGTTCTTGGTGCAAAACTTTGAGCACAATGGCAGCACAGCCTGTTTTAGAGGCTCTTCTATAATTTTTAAGTCATGGAGCTGCATAAATATCATGGCTGGACACCTCAGTCTTTAACATGTCTGTGTTCACAAATACATGTAGGGTGTGAAAGTGCTGGTAATCTCCATTTAAGCCAGAGAAGAAATCAGAGAAAGAATTAAGAAAAGTGACAGAGTATGGAATTGGTCCAGATGTCCTTGACTATCTGATGGCTCCATAATTGTTGGAGACTGTGTAGCAGAGGGGTGTGAGAGCCAGTTATTGTCCCTTTTTAGTCTCATATATATCATTGCCTATTAGAGTTCACGGAGTGTATGGACAATGCTTTTAGTCACATGGCTTAATTTTAGGTAGTCCTGTGAGGAGCAGGGAGTTGAACTCGATGATTCATGTGGGTCCCTTCCAACTCGAGATACTCTATGATTCTGTTCTGTGATTTCAAGCAGGAGAAATTCAACACAGGAAAATGACCAGAGCTGGCGAGGGTTCTCTCTTGTGGTTGGGAGAGTGGGTGGAGGCGATGCTATTTGTGTGCCAATTAGAGGTTCTGTTAGTCATCCTGTGCCCTCTGCCACGTGACTCACTTCAGCTGGAAAACTGCACTGGTCCTGGTTTTCTTGTTCCAGGCCTGGAGTGGGGTGGGGTAAAGCTTCAGACTGTACTGCTGTGTTCAGGATTGCATCTACATCGTTATTCAGTAAGATGCTGTGACTGGGGTTAGTGGCAGTCTTGTATTACAGGCTGGATAAAGGAGGAGTTCATCTGATTCCACAGCATGTCACATAAGTACCAAGATAGCTGGCATTTCGGGCAGCATCTGCTCCTCCACTTGACCATATTTCTTATTTAAACATCAAAGTCTGAAAAAAAACACCCAAACCCAAAAACCAACCAACCACCAACAAAAAAAACTACAAAAACAAACAACCCCCCCCCCCAAAAAAAACCAAAACACCCCTGCAAAACACAAGCCAAACCAAAAACAAACCCAAAACAAACCAACCACAAAAAAACCCAAAACAAAACACCACCAAACACAACCAAACTTGCTCTCTTACAGGATATCTTAAGTTTCGTGCCTTTTTTCCCCCCTTCTGGTATTAAAAGGAAAAAGTTTATATAGTAGTGCTTATAGACATGCTCGCAGCAAGTTTTTGGTAGTGGGGTGGCATCTTTTTAATCATCACAGACTTTGTAAGGATGCTAACTGAAATCCTCTCTGTTGTGACAGTCTTTTCTGTGCAAAATCATATTACTGTTATTTCTGTAACTAGAAACAGCTTGAATGGCTTTACCTAAGATTTTAAGGGGTCTTGCTCAACTGCTGCTGGTGACCTGATCAAAACTATCAGTACTAAAGCCTGGTTGAGGCAGTCCCTCCACTTTGTGGAGGGGAAAAATCACTAGCATTTGCTCCCTCTAGTTTTTGCTGCTAATGCCAGCGCTGCTGCATAGGCCAGCCAGCCAGAGCAGCTAAAGCATGAGTCATTCTCCTCAGAGTCTGAGCACCAATGCGGTATAGAGTCGCATATGCTTGGCACCATGCTGTTCTTTGAAACATTTCTTCTAAGGCTTACAAGAAATGTACACCTTTCGTAGAGGTTAATTCAGGATGGTAGTGCAATGCGTTATTAAACACAGCTTCAGTGGTTATTCAAGGTAAACACTTTCTGACCAGAGAAGTAATTATACTATGCAAATAAACCAAAAGTCATTCAGTGTCTAGACATATGTTCTTTTTTTTTGTCAGCATTATGAAATCTGCTGAGCCAAATTTCTTTTGATATCTAAAGATCCAATTTTCTGTTTCTCTTTACAGCTGGATCAGTTGGCTGTAGATGCTGCAAAGGAGAAGAGAGATATGGAGCAAAAGCACTCCACTATTCAACAAAAGGTACCTGAGAGAATGTAAAAGGCAGACTGCACACACATTTTTGTTTCTAGCATTTCTCCCCAGCAGTGCATCTTTGCGTCAATACTCTGAGGGGTGGTATCTTTAGTGCAGAGAAAGAGACTTAATGCATCATTAAGCTTAAGGTTGGATTGCAGATACTAATTTTGTATTACAGAACAGAAGATCATTTAGTTATGAAACATATATAGAACAGTGGAGTATATTTGAATGCTGGGACTCTAACATTTCAATAGAACTCTTTATTCAATCCAAGATGTAATAGGAGTTTAGTTGTAAAAGTTGCTATCTTTCCCTTCTGTGGGTCAGTAGAAGAGATGTCCTTCAGTCATGTATTACTTTCTGGACTGTGCTAGATAAGAATGCAGCACTTTGAGGTAGTGTGACGGCTGCTGTTGCACAGAAAGAGCAAAAGTAAACTTTTGTGAAGACTGTCTAATGTATGGTGTTCAACTGTGTACAAAAAGGAAAGTGATAACAATAAATCACTGTTTTGAGAAGATTTGTATGTGCAATATTTTTGCTTGTTGAGAACAATTTAGGTAATTCATGTTGTGGGGGGAATGATTTTTGTTGTTTGAATGTTTCAGAAGCTCTAGATCAGTATTGGTTTTGCAGGTATAATGCTAGAAGTTAAAAATATTTCCACTGAACTCTCTGGTAGTGAGCTAATACTGCAGGTACTTTTGAAAGGGATTAGATACTGGTTTAAAGGTAATACAACACTTCTTACTCTCAATGAAATACATTCTGTATCCATTCAGGTGGCATTAAAAAAAAAAAGCCTAATGTAAATGAAATCTGATGAGTAAATTCAGGAATGAGAACTTAAGAGTATAATTTATGTAGCCATAGTAAAAATCAGTATTAATACTGATGGGAAAAGGTAATGCTTTTGGTTGCTAAAAATGTTTTTGTCACTTCATCCCGTCATGCCTGCTGGAGTTGGTGGGAAGCATTAGGGTTGCTGTAACTGTGAAATTGAGCAGACACGATGAGGGGTTTTAGGGCAGTGCTGATATGCTGTGCTTGGAGGCAGATGGGAGGTAACAGGCAAGGAAGGGGAAGAAAGAGGGGAAATAGGAAAGAGACAAAACTGGAGACTTAACACTGATGTTCAAATTTTAATTTGTTTAGGCTGAATAGGCCTTGTTTTAGGAGTGGGCAGTAGTTCAGGATTTTACTGTTAGAGAGCAGTGGTGCTTGGTGAAGGGTATAAGTTATGCACAATTTTCTTTTAATTTACCAGAGAAATAATAACTTATTACTATGAATTATCATAATTGCTGTTGCCAGTGGTGTTTACAGTCTTTGTTTTTTCTTCAAATGCTGCTTAAGGCTGCTTTACAGGTAAAATATTCCTAATAGTATCAATGGTTATTGAAACTTTCAAGCTTCATGAAATTTGATAAGCTCTATCTTTGCATAGTACAAATATTCTTGCTTTCTAGTACAAATTGCAATCACAGTGAGGTTATTTCTATATTGTTCCTTATTTTAAGTAGATGACAATTTTACAGTGTCTCTAAAATATCAGTCAGATTGTACTGTATGTTGTCCTCTAAAGTTCTGTGTTTCAAGTTACATGTTGTCTCCTATACTATCAGTGAAGTCACTGATGCATTTTTGTGATGGCAATGCCTAGAGGAATGTATCTAGGCTTTGGAGGGCATGCTTTATTGCAGATTCCTCTTATAGCTTCTCAAATAATTTTCTTGGTTTCTTACTCAAATCATGTTGTCTGCTTTTTGTCTCCTCCTACCTGCTTTTCCCAACCTTACCACCAAGTTTGCTTCCAGCTCATCAGGATTTCAGAATCTTGAACTGCTTTAGACCTTGGATCTTGTTCTTTATTTGTCATCTGGTCAACTTGATCAGGATGGCAACCTTGTTCTCTTCTCACGGCTTGTCATGTTGCTTTCCACTGGGCTGCCTGTTAGGTATATGTTCCCAAATCTTCCAGTGCCAAATCCTTCTATGTTTTATAACTACAGAACTGCTTCTTGTCTTGAATATTCCATGAGGTATATATGCATTTAATATACTGAAGTTTTAATCTAATGCTTCAGAATGATGCCTTTTCTTCATTGTGTGGATAAAGAACAGTTCCTTTTCTGAAATGTATAGGTAAGTGCACGTGTGCACACGCCTACCCACACACTACCTGTGTTTGCATATATGTGCATATGCATGCAATATAGTTGCACTAATTAACTCATCTCACTTCTCTTTTTAATAATCATCCTATTTAATTAGACAACATGTTGTCTGAGAGGCTAATGCAAAAGTCATGGAAGGGCTTGGTCACCACTAATTTTCAGAGAATTGATGTCTCATTTTTTTGTTTAACTTTTGTGGTCTATTTACTCAGCAAATATGCAGGAAACTTCTTAGTGTAAGAAATTATATTTTTCTGTGTTAATCTGAAGCATTACATACTATGAATTAATCTAGAAATGTCATGATCATTCTGGGAACATTTTGTAATATATTTTTGTAG